TAGTTTGATACAGTATTGGCAGCTCCAAACAATTTATGTATTCTTAATCTCGGTGTGATTTAAATGAAAGGGAGGAGATCACCCTTTGATGATGATGCCAAGATTCTCAGCTTGGTAACGGAATAGGGTTAGGAGTTGGTGTGATGTAGCATATGGTGTTGGGTAAGGACGGAGAGGCCCAGGTGCAGCTCCTGACTCAGCCATGAAGCTCAGAGTGTGGTCTTGGGGTGGGTCAGGAGGTCTAATTCTCAATGTGGTTGCAAACCTGGCCTTGGGCTGTGGTTCTCAGCGTTTCTCTATCCAAAAGCCAACTGTCCCTGCACATAACATGACTGTGTTACAGGAAGAAAGACAGGCTCGAGCCAATGCTCCCTCTAAGTTGTGGAGTCTTGTGAGTACAAATTCTACTTTGTGAGCTACTGGCATTAAAGCTGTGAGCAAGCAGTTTGGCTACTGCATAAATTAGCTTGCTCTGGAGCTAAGACAAAAATGTCTGAGCTGGAGGCTAAAAAACTGTGACCTATCTCACACTTACTCAACTTAGAGGGAACGCTGGCTCGAACCCTTCTTTCTGATGTGGCTGGTTTTCCTATGTGGAGATTTTGTTTTTGCATGGAGGAGTATGCAGTTATGAGTGCCAACCTACAAGGTTGGGCATACTGGTATAATTTTTTAAAAATTAGCTATTTATAGATGGCTTTCCTACCCATTGAGAACTCAAAGCAGCTTACAGCAGGGGTCAAACTCATTTGTTATGAGGGCCGGATCGGACATAAATGAGACCTTGATGGGCCAGGCCATGTGTGTCATAAAATGTAATGCCAGGTAGCAGAGATATAAACTTTATAAAGGACACAAACACAAAGATTTTTTTACTTAAAATAAAACATGCTTAAAATATTAGCACTCTTGCAATATTTTGTTTATTTAACAGTATCTGATAACTGACACCTCTTGTTCTGAATTACTGCATCAAAATGTCTGTGCTGTTGCAATCTTGAGTAAGCTGTTCAAGCATGTATCTGTAAGCTGCAAACCTACTTTTGATTTATTGACATTCACCACAGAATTCTCATGCTCAGAGGTTTGAGTCTAGGACCCAGGTTAAAACATGAAATGGCTGAGTGGGCGAGATAGTCTGGCGAAGCAAGCTATGATGCAGCAGCAGAGCTGGAAGCTGGAGATGGTCAGTTCCACTGCAGGTCTGATGAAAGCCCTCCGGGGGCCTGATCTGGCCCCCGGGCCGCATGTTTGACACCCTTGGGCTTACAGTGTCAGTCTCCACTTTATCCTCTCTATATCGTGTGAGGTTGGTTAGGCTGAGAGAGAACGACTGGCCCCAAGTCATCTGGTGGTCTTCCATGGCAGATTGGGGAATCAAACTTGGGACTTCTAGAATTCTCTCCATGTTGCAGGTGCGGGGTCAGAGCAGAGCAGTGAGTTAATGGAGCTGGTGAGAACAGAGGAGAAGACTGATTTCTTTACTCACACAGCTCAGTCACTCACCTCCTGTGCTACGATAGAGGAAAGGCAGGAGTTAGATAGGACAGTATTCAGCCAGGGAACTCCCAAGTTTAAGTCTGAAATGTATGAAACTTGTCTTTATTTGATCAGCAGGACAAGTTGTTCTGGTTGCTTCTCAAGTCTAAATTTAAAGACGATACGTGAATGGTAGTTTTGCAATTCTAAGCATACACATTTTTGCAGGGTTCCAGCTTTCGTTTTTCAATGATGAATATGCTCAGGCTGTTTCTTGGACTGCTTTTGAGAGATAGGGAGGTGTTCCTGAGGCAGATCTGGTGCTTTCGCCTTGCCAGATGCTTTCCCTGGGCCGTACTCTGTTTTTGTCTAAAACTTGCAACGTGATGGTGGGTATTCTTCTGACAGGCCCCAAGGAGGACTTGGTGGCCCTCTCTGACTGCTTTGCTAAGCTTTTGTTGATAAAATTGATCACATCTATCTTGACTTGGGCACTGCTTTAGAAGTGCTGCAGTTACCAGATTTATAAACAAGTCTCTATTATGACATCTTTTAAGGAGTACATACTCATTACTCCTTTTAAAACCGGATTCAGAATCTAAAGCACTTTTCACAATGAACAGAATGCATCATTTAAACTATTCCCTTAAAACAGTTTTCCTACTTTAAAGTAAATCTTCCATTTGACATAGGTTTCCTTAAGCATTTATTTCTTGAGCATTTCTAATGATCTGACGAGTAAATAAGATAACATTCCTTCCTAGGGGACAATCTGATGTATATGGATAACTTTTTACTGTAGCAGTACAAAGGAGCAAGATTCCAGTAGCACCTTAAAAACTAACAAAATTTGTGGTAGGGCAGTAGCTTTTGTGAGCCACTGCTCACTTCTTCAGATAAAGTTAGAATGACATTTGCTCTTTCTCTTTTCTACTGCTACAGACAGACTGACAAGACTACCTATCTTTTTACTGTATAATTGTCATGAAAGTGGTGTTCTGTTTATAGCAGTACCGTTAGTATAGTGGTTAGATTGGCAGACAAATATCTGAACGAGCCAGGTTTCAATCCCCACTCTCCCATAGAAGCTGGGCCAATCATACTCTCTCAGCCTTACCTTACACTGCTCACTAATAACAGATCCCCTTATCTACCTTGGCAACAAACCTACCCATAATTCTTATTTTCAAAATGGAAAAGGATGTGCAGATGCTACTGTGGCAACCAAGCATGGGATTCCAGCAAATAGTAAAGGGGTTCGACTAGATGACCTGCAAGGTCCCTTCCAACTCTAACATTCTATGATTCTATGATTTATTACAGAATTGGCTGTTTGTTATTCTTGTTGTCATCTGGCCTTTCTCCAAGGAGGTCAGAGGGATATAGATGGGGCTCCACATATTTTAACCTCAGTGTAACCTTAAGATAAGGTAGCTTGAATGAGTAAGTAAACCCCACAGCTGAACTGAACCTGGGTCTAAGCCCATCTGCTATGCCGCAGCGCACCCAGCCCTGTGTCTTGCTGCAGAACAAACTAGGCAGCAGTGGGGAATCCAGCAAAGCTGATTTGTGTATGATCTTTAATTGCAGGGGGAGGGGGTGTCAGCTGCAGGCGCTAGCACTGAGGTTCTCGGTATGCTGAAGCTTGAAAACATGGAGCCTTGCTGCCACCCAGTGGCAAAGCATACACCTTTTCAGTTTGCAGAGGTTACATGGTCTTCATGAGAGACAGGTGTGTGCCAGAGAGTGGAAGCACTCTGATAACTATTAGATACATGTTCATCTGGTAAAACAGCATAGTAATAGATGGGTAACAAGACTGACTGTGTTCATAGGTACAGAGGAATGGTGCACAAAGGGAGCAATGACTTCTGAGCAGTTTTTCAACTCAATTGGTAACTGGCAATCTTTCAAAGACTTAGTTTGCTAATTAGGGGGGGCTGTTTGAGTGAAAGTGGGTAGGCAGTGGGGCTTTTGCTAGCAAGGTTTTTGATTGGCTCTGGAGATATGATTGGCTATACAGATTTTTAGAAATGTTGGTTTGGCAGCAATCTCCACCCCTGCCCAAGGATCTTCACTGTGTGACTTCACTGTGTAAGCTGCGGCAGCCATTTTGTGGCTGGCTCCACCTCTTGTGGCGGCTGTTTTCTGGCAGCCATTTTGTGGCTGCACCCTTCATGCTGTGTTAGAATTCCAGTGATGCCCATAGGCTCAAAAAGTTTGAGGACCCTGTCCTAGACTGAGAAGCACTCAGTAATTATGTAAGTAGTTTAGGCCCAAGGGTGTCCACTGATGCCACTATGCCTCAGTTTCAGCAACATAATCTTGAGGAGAGGCATTCTTAGCTCCCCCACCCCAGCGAGATCATGAAACATCCTTCCAACATGAAGACTCACCAAAGGTCCAGCCTCAGTGTGTTTTGGACTGTTAAGGCATACACATTCAGGCTGGCTTTTTAGACATAAGATTTGTTTGAGAGAGGGCAAAATTCATTAATCAACTTTGTTTTGTTAAGCTGAGAGTTGCTTTTGTTGGGATCTGCTACAGTTATTTATTGGTAAATTGGTTGGGTGGTTGACTAAATAATGTAATTTCAGGTAGGGATGTCAACCTATGGAGATGTTCCAGTGAGAAAGCTATAAATTATACTTTCATAGTTGTGGAAATCTCACTATTGAATTTGATTTAATTCTCTTCCCTCTTCAGTGCTGTTTTTCTTCAGGAAAATCTTCCGTAGAAGCATGCTGTTTACATTTCTCAGCAATAACAGATTTCTTTAACAGTGCTGATACAAATTCATTGTCTTGGTGTTCTGTTAACCTACATGTGTTAGGAATGGCATATCAATTCCTAGGTTCCCTAGCTCAGTAGCTTTTAGCCTTTTGTCATACAAACGTAGAAGTAGTTCCTTTGTGTGTGCAAAGGATTCTGGGGTAGATGCTTGCTTCACAAAGAGCACTGAACAGGCCTTGCTGTCACTCTATACACCTGTTAACATAGCTCTGTGGCACAGCATTACAGTGGAAGCTCAGTTGTGGTTGCACACTGACCATTTCCATAGTAGCAAAATTCCTTGCATTGACGTTTTAAAAACTGCCCATTATGTGACATTTTTGGCAGTAGATTTTTCCGCACCAGGCGCAAACCCGAAGTTTTATCCTCCTTTCCCTGCGTTTTTAGAACTCACTAAAACTGGGGATTCCGAAAAATGCAGGGTAAGAAGGAGAAAACTTCAGGTTTGCGCCTGGTGCGGAAAAATCCACTGTGGAAAATTTCACATAACGCACAGTTTTAAAAATGTCAATACAGGGAATTTCACTACAGCGGAGATGGTCACTGTCATTCTGGGTAGCTTGCCCACTATTACTATCCCTGGGTAAGTTTTTGAAGCATCTCACAAGCCCCTTCTGGTTCGGAAGCCAGTCTCTGGGTCCCTGAGGTTATGCAGCTGCACTGTTAACTTTTCCCTTTGCTTAACTATTCATTTAGCCTTTTTCCCTAACACTGCTGTTTCTTTACAGAAAACGGAACCATGGGAAAAAGAAAAGACTGAAGCTGATATGGAGGAATACATATGGGAGAACAGCGCCTCTGAAAAGAGTGCTTTGGACACACTGCTTCGAATCAGAGCAGCTGAAACAACTGAGGAAACCAGCAGAGAGGCCCTGCTCGCCTCAGAGATCGTTCAAGACTACAAAAAATCGATGGTTGCACTGAGAAATGAAGGAGACATGGAGAAGAACCTTTCAGAGTATAAGGAGTCTGTCAAACGATTACTGAACTTGAATGCCTTGTAGTGAAAAGACTCTTCAATGTATATGTGCATCATACAGTTCGCACGGGTATCTGGTTTAAACTTCCGTGACCTTTCTATGATCAGTTTCTTACACCAATGACCTTACTGTTCTGGCAATGCATATTCCCTGTATATATAAAAATACATTGTCCAAAGAAGGCCTAGTAACCCAGTCTTGCGTTCTAGGCCTCTTTGGGATTCTTTTCACCCTACAAACATTCTGCTTTTTAGCATGAATGAGTAACTTTCATTGAAGCCTTGGAAGTGTTCCTTGGAACTAGCACATTTCTAACCCACAACTGTGGAAATATGACACTTTTGCATAAAGCAAAAGGTTGCTGGGGGTGGGATTGAGGGGCTGCTGCTGAAAATGGTAGCTCTTGTGTCCACCTCAACCTCTTCCCTTTTGTAATGTGTAGTACAACTTGGTTTGAGGATTTTCTTGTCTCATGCCACATAGAGTGGCTGTCACTGCCTGGGCGGGGAAGTGAATTGAACTTTGGCCTAGACACAGCCTTCCTTAGAGTACCCATTCAACCATATCAGACAGGTATCCAGCTCCTGGAAAGAGGAGAGATAATTTTGTTTTGTCCTTAAACTTCCAAGAAATTAAGATAAGGTGGCAGCAAAGTTGCTCTTCAGTGGGAGCGAGCTATAGAAAATTCAGTGAAGCAGGGAAGAAATGGAAGAGACCAAGTTGTTCCTTTGGACTGCCCAAGAATCGAACAACTTGGATAATACAACCTGCACTGAATGCTACACATAACTAGTTGAGATTTGACAATTCATCAGTGTTGCTATCTATTTTTGTGGATCTTTTTGGCTGCAGGCATTAGAGATCATGTGGTGTAGTGATGAAGTGGGAGCTGAGGGGCTGAAAATTCCTGGTTCGGACTTTGCCTCAGCCATGAACTCACGCGGCATCCTGAAGCAAGTCTGTCTGTCTGTCAGCACCCTATATCTGGTGGTGTTTCTTGCAGGGTACCAGTAAAGAAAACTAAGAACACAGAGGACTTTCCAGTGCCCCCCAAATGCTAAATAAGTGCTAAAAACGGCGGTTACTCACAGTTCACATTGACTTTGGTGTGACAGAGCCATCACTGTGGCTTTCATCTAATTTTGCATAGCGCATTGCACCATGCTAATAGACAAGGGCCGAGTCTTATTAGAGAACGAGATTTTTAAACTTGCAAACTGAGAACACACAATTTGAAAACTGGGTGGGGGTCTCTAATCTTATTTAATGACGAAGGATTCGGAAACGCAAACAGTTCAAAACAATCATTTAATTTTTAAAAAATAAAAATAGCTCCACTCCATCCGCCCATCAAGAATACAAGCTGTTCACCTCTACATTGTACTTGGGAATATTTCCCCTTAAAGGCTGTCATTAACCATCGTGTACCTTATGAACTGCCGGGGTCCTGACACTCCTCTGCGCCTTGGCTTGTAGCGACCCCTCCTCTTTCGGCGGCATCCCGCTGCAAGGAGAGCCGTGCAACAGCAAATCAGAACCAGAGAGGAGCAAAGCACTGCGGGAAGGAACCAGGTGCTCCTTTCCACCCCTTCCCAGGCTGGCCGCTGGCCTTCGTTATCTGAAGTGTGATTCCTCCCGCTGTAGCCTTTGGTTTCGTTCAAGTGTTCTTTGCTGCTGTTCAGGTGGGCTGGGCTGGGTATGTGGGACAACATTTTAATGGATGGGAGTGTAGGAGTGGGAAGCTCAGATGCATTGTCTGGATTAGCCGTTGAACCCTTTGCTCCTGAGATAACATCCATCGCTTCAGTGAAATGATCTTTAGGTGGTGCAGGTGTAGATCTGAAATGTGTGGTGGATGCAGTCTTGTGGACCAAGTTGTTTTCAAGAGTATGGCTGCTGCTGGCTACCAGGTCTTGGACCATCGTTGAAGATGAGGCCGTGGCTGGAAGGCACTTTGAACCCATCGATGCATCCTGGCATATTTCTGATTCTGCAGCTCTTGCGCTGCCTTGCCTCTCCCATTTATTAAATGTCCTGGTATTTGGCTCTTTAAAAGACAGCTTCTCAAACACAAGAAGATCTGGATCAATTCCTGTCAAACCAGAAACGAAACACAAAATTAATGTGTTGTTTAGGGCTGTACCCATATTCAGCTTGGCACATCCCTAAACATGTCGGCTTTCTTGATTACATGAGGCAGTGTTCCTGCAGAATGTATGTTTCATGCACTCTTCATCTTCTGGACTTATTCCTAAATTTGTTAGGTTCCTTGCCAAGGCAAAACTTGATTTAAATCAACCATGCCGTAAAATAACAGTCATAGTTCATTAGTGTATTAAAATGAAAAATGGGAACTGCCTGAAGTAAATATTCAGCTCTGGTCCAAACAGGTTTCTTTCCCTAAAACTGTGGCGAGGAGCTGTTTCCTCTAAGGAAAGAATTCATGAGGTTAGGCACCACAACAGAGCTATGGCTTTCTTGGGTCCCTGCACACTGAACCGCAATGGTAAAAATGCCCCCAAAGGTTGGAAACCAAATGGTTTAAAATTGCACAAGGGATGAGAAAAAATTAATTCAGCCACCACCCTCATTCAATCAATAGTAAGACCCTATGGGAGGGAGGAGGCTGCACCTCAATTTGCCTCAGAAAATATAGCCCTGGTCTGACCCTGAAACACCCCCCCCAACCTAGAGATAAGACTTAAGCCCCCAGTGAGATATTTGCAAGGGAAGCAAGCGTGTTTTTCCTCATGGAGCATTGATGCTGAAATCCCTGCTTGCTCCAGGATAGAGTCTTTTTGTGCTGATGCAGAAGTAGTTCAAATGACATCCTTGTAAGGTGACAGAGATCCCTCATGGTAGCACTGCAGGTAGGGAGAAAAGGGGTTTTTGCCCTGCCTCGAGCTAGTTTATTTGTGGGTGGGAGGGTGCTATGGGATGACCCACAGGGGGGAGACATGATTGCTCTCTCTAAATATTTGAAAGGCTGTCATTTGGAGGAGGGCAAGGAGCTGTTCCAGTTGGCAGCAGAGGAGAGGACCCGAAGCAACGGGTTTAAATTACCTGCAGAAAGGTATCAGCTGGATATTAGGAAAAACTTTTTCACAGTCAGAGTGGTTCAAAGGTGGAATCAGCTGCCTAGGGAGGTGGTGAGCTCCCCTTCACTGGCAGCTTTCAAGAAGAGGCTGGATGAATATTTGTCAGAGATGCTTTAGGCTGGTCCTGCATTGGGCAGTGGGGTGGACTAGGTGGTCTGTACGGCCCCTTCCAACTCTATGATTCTATGACCCGCATCTCTTATCTATATTTTTTTCTCTTACATTGCAGGAGATGTGTGCATAGGCATTTCTCTGCTTGCTATTGCAGCTAGAACTTGTAGGTTTTATGAAAGCTTGCAAACCATTCGAGACACACTCGCACACTGCTCAGACAGAGTATATGGGATACTTCTTAAACTGATCCCAGAATGCAAGTATAGATGTTTCCTCAGGGAGCTCTCAAGTCTCAGCTGGTGTGCCTGGAAACATATTCCTCACTTCAACCTCCCAAGTAGCCCCACAAGTCTGAAGAAGGATTCTTCATATTTGGCTTGTCTTGCCATTCGTTTCATGCAGTGATGGTGATTAAGTCAAACGAGATTCAAAAGTTTAGCATTCTGTTAGGGTGGAACAGCTCAGTACCACTGCAGGTGGCGCCGTTCTCTTTCTCAAAACAAGACCCTTTCTCACTTCATGTTCCTTCCAACTCTTGTGAGGATTACCAACCTCCAGGGGGGCCGGGCAATCTGGTATTACAGGTCATCTGCAGGCAATAGATAAGAGTTCCCCTGGAGAAAATGGCTGCTTTGGATAGTGGACTCCATCTCTATGGCATTGTACCCTGCTGAGATCCCTCCCCAGGCTCCACCCCAAAATCTCCAGGTATTTCCCAACCCAGAGCTGGCAACCGTATCTGTCGCCCTGTTACTTCTCTCAGTCTCATGCATACTGTTATTTACATGTCAAAAGGCCAAGTATTCTCAGAAATCTCTTACTACCTAAATAACACACTGTACAACGCGTAGGTTGTCTGGTTAGCCTTCACAATAAAGCCATCAGTGATTAAACATGCACAAAGTTATCAGAAGGCCTTTGTTCCTATGAGCCCTGCTGCAGCCTTAACTCTATTAGCAGAGGGAGAAATTGTGGGAAGATGGTTGCAGCTCGCAAGATCCAGGCTGGAGGTTTGCCACTGTCCTGTGCAGGGACTTGAAGCCTGGGCATGGCTGGGGGCACAGAACCCAAAGAGCAAGATCCAGAGAGCTCTTGACTCTCAGCCCTAGGGCCATATAGCCCAGAGAAGATGCAGGGAGAAGGTCTGCTCTGTATTTGGAAGCCTTCCGTTTTCCCTTACCCTTTTTTTTTTGTGGGGTGGGGGATGGTGGAGAATTGTACTTTATTTTTTGTGTTGTAGGGCCCTTTTGGGGGGAAGGGCAGGATATGGTGAATGGATGAATGTTCAATATTGTCAGACTTCTAAAAGATAATTCCTTAGTATGAAATCTAAGAACTATTAAATCACATGGTGTGCCTGAATATGTGATGAGCTGCTTTAAAACAAAAATTGGTGGGGGTGACAGACAGATCAATGTCCTGCCCTCTTTCTGGAAGCTGTCACTGAATAGCCATTCACAAAACCAAAATAGGACCCACGGTAAGTAGGAAATACCAAATATCAGTAAATACCATGCTACAGACGATGATAACATATATCAATTATATATATATATATTTACAATATATACACACACATACACATACACATATATATACATATACAAAAATATATCAATTATATATATATATATATATTTACAATTTATTCACCATATAATCATATAAGCCTTAATACAAAACCTCTAAGTATCGCCTCTTATCACAAAAGATATTGCACAACCCCTTTATTAATATCAGTCCTCCTTAAAAGCACGTGCTTTTCACTTTGGAGGAAGCTTTGAGCTCACTAAGAGAGACTTTTTGCAGCGTTCATTAAAAATTTTGGATAAATATTTTGGTATTTGGCAACCTGAGCTTGGAAATATCTGTTGAACTCCCTGAGGAAGACACTGAAACAGGAGGATAGCTGGACCTCTGTTGGAGGGAGACTGAGCACTTATTCAAAATAGACTTAAAGGAGTCCTCCCTCTTAAAACTTTTGTATAATTAAGGAGGACTGATATTAATAAAGGCGTTGTGCAATATCTTTTGTGATATATTAAGAGACAATACTTAATGTTTTGTATTAAGGCTTATATGATAAATAATATATGGTGAATAAATTGTAAAAATATAATACTTTATAATCGTCTGTAGCACAGTATTTGCTGGTCACTGAGATATTTTATAATCGTCTGTAGCACAGTATTTGCTGGTCACTGAATAGCCAGTCAGGGCCCTCCAAACCTTGACTGAGCAGATGGGAGAGGGCAGTTGGAGCAAAGAGCCATTAAGTCATTTTTCTTCTGGCAGCGTTTAGCTGGATGTGAGGGAGGGTAGGGAATCCTCGTATCAGGAGACCAGCTTTGTCTCAGAGTCTGTCTTCAGGGGAGGCAGGCTGCTAAAATCCAGGAGAGATTCACTCTTCATTTTTAATTAACCTTGAGTCTCCCAAGGCTGAAGGACAGGCCGTGGTTGCATTACAAATTCTCTGGTAGCTCCAGTCTTTGGATCCTGCAGCCCTGAGTTCAGTCATCCAGATTTTTTCTCTCAAGAACACAAATTGGCTGTTACTTGCTCACTATCTTCAACCTACATTGTATTATCAGTAACTGATATTAGAGTGACAGAGATCAGAGTCGCTGAAGCCCTCAGTTATTTGTAAATATTTTCAAGGCTGAAAGACCTGTTGAAGAAGAGGAAGAGGAGGAAGAAGAAGAGGAGGAAGAGGAAGAAGAAGAGGAGGAGGAGGAGGAGGAGATTGGATTTATACCCCGCTCTTCACTACCCAAAGGTGTCTCAGAGTGGCTTACAAACTCCTTTCCCTTCCCCTCCCCACAACAGACACCCTGTGAGGTGGGTGGGGCTGAGAGAACTCTGACACAAACTGCTCTTTTTCAAGGACAGCTGTGCCAGAGCTTGTGAGCTTTAACCCTTTCCGTGGATGTAAATAAAAACTATGTTTTTATTTTTCCTGTGTAATTATAGGGTGGACAAAGTATTCCTAAATAAGCCCAAACTGCTTTCCTATTTACAAAAATATGGTGCTGCAAGCCTTTAACACTGGCACTTTTAATCCATGTTCACTGCGGTGTCCTCCAAGCAATTCTACACTAGATTCAACCTTCTTTTAAATCCAGAGTGGCCGGCAAATGTGGAAAAGACCACTCTCAGGCACTTGTTGTTGTTGTTCAGTTGCATAGTCGAGTCCGACTCTTTGTGACCCTACGGACCACATCACGCCAGGCCCTCCTGTCTTCCGCCATCCTCTGGAGCTTGCTCAATTTCATGTCAGGTGCCTATAACAACACATAATTCACCCCTTTCTTGTTGCCTTACCTGGTGTGATGTTGTATAATACAACACTGGTCCCCGGCTTCAGTATGCAGCTCTCCAGTGCTGGACAATAAGCGTGGAGGCAGGAAAGGCTTTGATTATTGGTTTCAGAGTAGAAAACTGCCAAATTACAGGAAACTGAATGAGGGAAGAAGAAAAGATTTTAGGTGACTAGACGAAACTCTAGGAGATCAGTGGCTAGTTTTCCCCTGTGGTTTTAAAAAGTAAGTCACAGCCCAGTTCTGACAAGGGCCATACAGGATACATAGAGGGGGTTTAATCCTTACAGCTCAACTTACTTTCTCCTATTGACAACACAGACACAGAGAAAGAAGGAGCAGAAAATGAGCATTGTGTGTTTTGCCCATTTCTGTTTTCTTTCCAAGTGCACAGGTAGAAGGAGGTTGATTTGGGGCTGCAGGCAGCTGAAACTTAAAAAAAACAAAACACGAGGAAGATCATATTGACCACCCAGTCTATCCTCTAGTTACATATAAGGACAAAGAGGCCTTGATTCTGGCTGCGTGTGAATCTTTCTGTTGTGCAACACCTGTGGGAGGGCAGGAAGGCCCCTTTAGTGCTCAGTTGCTATCACGGCGCTCACGCACTAAAGGAAATGGGAACCTTTTAAAACAAAATACCAGGCCATTGATTTGAAATCAAAGCTAATAGTTGAGCTCTTGCCATTACTGAAGCACTGAACCTGACTTGCTAGCTGACTACCTTTTAAAGAAACTTAAGATTTGATTGACATGTGACATTTCACATTTCAGTAAGGCTTTTGATAAGCTTCCACATAATATTCTTGTTGACAAATTGGAAAAATGTCATTTGGATCCTATGACTGTTCGGTGGATCTGTAACTGGTTGACAGATCGCACCTAAAGAGTGCTTGTGAATGGTTCCTCATCTTGTTGGAAAGGAGTTGACAAGTGGAGTGCCTCAAGGATCTGTCCTGGGACCTGTTTTGTTCAACATCTTTATCAATGATTTGGATGAAGGGAGAGAGGGAATGCTTATTTATATCAGGTTCAACATCAAGTAAATCTCCACACACGTTTCCAGGGAAGTGTTATGCTTTATTAGACTACAAGTCTGTTACCATGTCCATAGGGTTATTGTTAGGAATGACCATGGGGCGGAAGGTAAAAAGGTAAAGGTTTCCTTGCTCGAAAGCCAGTCGAGTCCGACTCTAGGGTTGCGGTGCTCATCTCCGTTTCAAAGCCGAAGAGCCAGTGCTGTCCGAAGACGTTTCCGTGGTCATGTGGCTGCCATGACTAAACACCAAGGCGCACGGAACGCTGTTACCTTCCCACCAAAGTGGTACCTATTTATCTCCTTGCAATTTCTTGCTTTCGAACTGCTAGGTTGGCAGAGCTGGAAATAGAGACGGGAGCTCACTCCGTCATGCGGCACACTCGGGTCTCGAACTGCTGAACTACTGACCTTCCACAGCCTGCAGTTCAGCGTCTTAACCACTTGAGCCATCGCAGCTCCTTATGGGGAGGAAACATCCGTACATATAGCAGGATGAGGCAAATGGCTAAGCTAATTAAATCAGAGCGCCCGGTGGGAGGTTACATAATAAGCGGGAGAGTCTCAGTGCCCCATGAGAGCCGAACAATTCACACCTGCGGTGGAATGCAAGCCCTCCCCCCATCACAAGGTCAGAGAGATAACTCAGTCTGGCAGCACTGGTTCTCACAGTCTCCCTATCGCTGCTTACGGCAAGCGGCAGAGCAGCGAGCAAGCTATGAGGCATGCGCTGTAGCGCCAGGATCAGGGAAGGGAACAAGCAAAACATGGCAGCTAGCTGACATCCTGCCCCCTCAAAAACACATCAACCACCTCCTGGAGCAGACGGGAGACCTCCCGATTTCTCCGAGAACTGGGCGTGAAACTTCCGCAGGAGATTAGGGGCCC